CTACTCCTTTTGGTTCAAATCTGGTTCAGTTTATGGTTCAAGATTGATCCTTGAAAATATGATTTTCTAAATAGGGAATGCGATTCCCAGTTGAAAGGGAGAGAAAAAATTTTGAAATTCGCCCCTTTATTCCGCAAGATTTGGGCGTCCATACGATGGATCTCTCATCCCTTCAGACCTAGTCTTCCTCAAACTGCAGAACTATTCATAGAACCTGGAACAATCTTAACGCCGTGGTAGTTTGGGCCATTCAAGATCTTTGAGAGAATTGGGTTCGTAGCTAATAAGTTGGGCCTCCCTCCTCCACGCTTCATTCCACATTTCATTTATCTCTACACAAAAAATGCCTTAAGGAGTGATCAATTGTCCTACACTGCTTCAGTACATGGAAGATGCATTTGTGTATTGAACCAGCCTACTAGTTAGAAGACACTACCTGGGTGCCCTACCTCAAGTTCCGAAAGGACTTTCCCTAAGGACAAGATCAGCTTAAGGGGAAGGAACCCGTTTTTTTTCTTTTTTATTTATCCGTGAATTGTAAGATTTATTAATTCATAGCCAAAGAGGGGAGATGGAGGATACCACTAACCCTTGAGTTAATAAAGAGAACAAAGGACAACGAAAATTACAGAGAAGCCGAATACAAGGAAACCTGAGTATCCCCTTGTTTAGCAAGATAATCAGCCAAGGCATTAGCCGATCTACCCACCCACTGAAATCCAACTGTCATATCCCTCAAAAGCCATTTAACCTTTTCTAAAATATCCTTAAAGTCCCAAGTGACAGTACCCGGGTCAGCCAACCATCCTACTACCACCTTGGAATCTCCTTCAATTATTAAGTTCTGCACTCCAAGTTGATAAGCAATCTGTATCCCCTGTGCTGCAGCTAGGAGTTCAGCCCTCACAGAGTCTCCTATTCCAAGAGATACATCTGACCAACTTTTCATGTGTGGCATGACTGTGACCAAGTATGTCTATAGGAGGAGGCGACATAAGCAGACAGTTGTCCTTGATGCAAGCAGAGTCCAAATCAACTCTCTCGCCTCTGCTTTTGTCCATTTCAAGAGGTTAGGCAGTAACCTAACATATCCAATGCACAAGGCATCTCATATGAATATCTCTTCAAGATAAAGATAAATGGATAACAATGGCCAAAAAAAAAAGAAAGATGACTCCAACACATTGAAAGGAATATAATAAAACTGCAATAGTAAAGATCTAACTTGATTTTGTTGGACCAAACAGCAGGAGAGACTCATAAAATATTAATATATCAAGGCTTAGGTACATCAATATGCACAAAAACCAATTTTTGACATCAAAATGCTAACCTGTCTATGGACCATCCGACAAACCGAACGCTCCAAATCTGAAAATACCTGCACATAATTAAAAATTACAAACAATATCAAGAAACAATAGAAGCTAAAGTTTACAACTAGTACATCAACACTGCAATTAAGCCATGATAGTAGACAATGAAGACAAATTCATTATGTTCAAAGATTTCATTAAAACGTTGATAACAATACCACTCAATCAAACCAGCCAAGATACGCTAAGCCATTAATAATGACTAACAAAGATCTGGAAAGTTCCAGACCTGAACCCAATCGAAGTTGGTATACATTTTAAATGGAGCGCATATTTGCTTTTGTATGGCTTACTTAAATGCCTGCTACATTCATTGAACCATTTCTTGCACCTTCTCAAAGTCAAAAACTTGGTTGTATGTTTTATTTATCCTTAACCAATAAAAGCCTCCACTTAACCAAACAAACTCTCAACCTGACAGCTACTCAAAGAAAAAAGAACTAAAATAAAGGTAAATAACTAAACGCATAAATAAATGGCATCATGATTCTTGCAAGTTACTAGCAAATTTCAAATAAAAGCCTAAAGGACAACTAACACAAAATTAGATGGTTTCGATGCAACCATCCATTTTTCAAGTGGATRATTCAACTATTCACAATTAATTTAATCAATACGCATAGATTTCCTAAGGTTTTTTTTATCAATAACTAAGATTTCATTGATTATGAGGAATAGATTTCCTAAGGTTTAATTGGCGTTCAAGATCCATACCTTTGCCATGGATGTTAGGATATCCGCCAAGAAAAAGTCTGAAAATGAAATTGGCTGCATTCAGCATCATCCACCATATTGGGTTAGAATGAGTAATGCCAGATACAACCCACAATAAATTCATTTTTGTTGTTCTTTTTGTTAGTAACACTATAAATTGAATATATTGTGTGCAGAAAAATCTTATAAATAAATAATATACAAGAAAAGGGGACAACAAATCCCTTTGAGATAATCTATGGATAGCAAGGTCCTCTCAGAAAAATTCCTCATTATACATATATTTATCACAAAAAAAACAAGCAATGACCAAGAAACAGATAGTCATCCAATGTTTCCCAATATTCTTTTGAGTTAAAGAACTCAAAACACTGATCAATCTATTCTAAAACACAGCTACAAATCTGTGTATCAATCAAGAAAGATGACAAATGACATTAGAATCACCTTTCAAAGATAAAACCAGAAAATACCAACATTTGACTCTTTCTTAAGACCACCCAATTAACCTGCAATTTTCTATTATTTCTTATTGTATGTCTTCTCCTCCGAAACCAACAGTAGAGGCCATCCATTCCACCATGATAATATTTAGAAGATAATCAAATCAACATCGTCCAGCAAAACCCAATAAACATTTTAAAGTTTCCTACAACAACACATTATTCTAGAATTTCTGACAATACATAATTATACAGTAATGTATCTTTAGCATGTAATTACATGTACAAGAATACTACCAAAATGCTATTCACCTGTAATGGAAGAAAGATCCGCCAGAGTGTCCTCAACAAGTAGTAGCGAGATGATAAATAAAAAATATCAAAGGGAAATAAAAGTACCATTGCAACAATGGCATACAAGAGTACCTGTCATAGGAGTAACAGACAGAGTGCCATCAAGACTTGTCATGGCACATATCTTAAACATGGCAAGTGAATAGCTACTTAAAATTTAATCCATGTACCAAAAATTTTTTACACAATATAGAAGTTAACAATATATTGTCCTCAATGATTACAGCTGCAAATCTCAGCATTTAAATATCCAACATTAATGCTAATAAAAGTGATAAAAAGTAAGTTCTTGATGCAAGCCAATCATGGTGGAAAAGTAAATGGTAAAAGTTGTCCTGCTTTTGGGAAATCTTATTCCCTTCTCTGTAGATTTTCTGGTGTAGTCTTTACAAAATATAATCACAGTCAGCTATGCTTTATCTCATTGACCCCCGAAACCCTACACTCACTAAAAAGCTTAAAACAAGAAAAACATGGATGGTGTTTGTTTTGCCTTTCCAAAAAGACATTTCAGATATCAAAAATGTAAAAGATCTTTTAGGAAACAAAAGATGAATATAAAGATTGGAAAGCCTGTTTGATAACATTACTCAACAAATATTTGCTTTTCACCCCACAACAATGGTAAATGACCTAAAAGTGTTCAATTGCCTTATAAAATAACATGTGTGATATATGTTGTCAAACTTGGGGCAAAACAGAAAGTCAGACAATCAAAAACTAGAGTCAGAAGCCAAAATAGTTTTTAGGTTGCCTAGTTCTTAAAAATGTTGGCTTGATCAAACCTACTTAAGTACATATTTTAAATCTATGTTACGGCCTATAGTATTTATTGTATTAAGCTTATTTTTATATAAAAAAAAAAAAAGCTTTAAGAGACAATCCAAATTGATTTGTTTTTCTTATTTTTCTTTACTATGAAATTTTAATCGAGTAAGCTGAACACCCATGAGTGGCAGAAATACATATATTGAGATGAACGAGTGAGAAAACAAGGAGGTAGCTCCAAGAAATGAATGACCATCCAATCTTGGCAGAAGATGATATAGGGTCAGAAATGAAGTCATTCAAAGAAACCTAGGAATAGCTCCAACAAGTGGGAAAATGAAAAATTAAAAAAATAGACTAAGATGGTTTGGTCGCATGCATAGAAGACCATTTTTTTCATAATTTATGCATAGAAGACCATTTTTTTCATAATTTATGCATAGAAGTCTTTTGACAGCACCCATAAGAAGAAGTGATCCGTCGCAAGTTGAAGGGGCTAGATCTAGAAGGGGTATGGGTAAACCAAAAAGGACATGGATCGAAGTAGTAAGAAATAATTTAAGCACTAATAATTTAACAATAGATATGGCTTTCAACAGAATGGAATGGTGACACTGGATACATGGTTGAACTTCTGGATCCAGGACCATATGACACTGATGATGATAATGATTAATGCATTCAGGCTGAACAATTTAAGTGCATTGTTGAACTTCTGGATCCAGGACCATATGACAAAAATTGGTTCTTTTGAGTTCAATGTATGTGACTAACTATCAAAATTAAGAAAGACTTCTAGGTTGTAGCAATATTTCCAGCCCACAGTTGAACCAACCATTCAGATTGGTTGACCCATTGATGGGGATCACTCTAGACATTATAAGACATTCTCTTCTCTTTTTTAGTCAGTGACATTATAAGACATTCTAGTAAGAAGGTGGCCAACACAAGGACATTTTCATCGTTTTGATCAAGGACATTTTCATCATTTTGAGCAGTATCATGTGGGCCTGGGCCATAATATCTTGTTCCTCCAGTTTAGGAGTAGCATTTTTTGTAATTATAATGAATAGTATTTTGGGCCACGCAAGTCACTCTATAAAGAGATGTATTCTCTTCCTTTTGAAGCTAATGACTGAAGATTTATTGAAAGCTCTTTTGCAAGTTTGCTGTATAAAGTGATTCTATAAACCCTAAGAGTGAGTCTAGGACCCTTGGGCTTAGAATGATTCCTTGGGATATCTCTTTCTCTCTCTCTCTCTCACCGTTCAACAGAATGGTGTGGCTGAATGGAAAAATAGGCATTTACTTGATACTGCTCAGGCCCTTCTCATTCAAATTTCGTCCCAGTGTTTTAAAAGTGCAAGGCACAAAAAAAGTGCAATGGGCATTTTGCACCCGAGGTGCAAGGCACAAGGCAAGGCACATGCCTTTTCGAAGCAAGACACAAAAATGCAAAAAAAATGCTAAAAATTCAAAAAAAAAAAGAGAGAAAAAGCAAAAAAATATATTTTTTGATAATTGAAAAGGAAAAAAAATACTAAACATAATATTAGTTAAAAATATAAACTTATATTTTAATATAAAAGTTTTAAAAAACCTATTAACTCAAATTAAGATACATAACATAAAATGTAAAACATATTTAAATGAAACTTTAAAAATAAAATCAAGCATAGCATATAAAACATATTTGAGAATGTAAAACTCTCAATCTCTTTATTCTTCTCCCAATTGCATTACTTCAAATAGCTAATGTGATGTTAAACATTATGCGCCTAGGCTCGCCCCTTTTAAATCACTACACCGTCCCCAAAATTTATTGGAGTGATATTATTCTTTCGTCATGCTTCCTTATTAATAATAGGCCCTCTGTAGTTCTCAATGGTGGGTCCCCTTTTTCTCTTTTGTTTCCATCTCTCCCTCCTTTTTTGCTTCAGCCTCGTGTTTTTGGATGTATCTTCTCATCGTCTTGGTCCCAAGATGGAAAAGCTTGATTTTCGTGCTCACAAGTGTCTTTTTTGGGGTATTTTCATACTTAGAAGAGATACATGTGTTATAGTCCTACTCTTCGTTGATCCTTCATTCTTCCGAATGTGTCTTTCTTTGAAAATGTTCCCTCCTTCTCTACAATTGAGTCTCTTTTGCCTCCATCTATTCCTCTCCTTGCTCTCATAGAGGTCTCCCTACCAACTTCCATTGTGCAAGCACCTACACGCCCACTAATTCACAAAGTGTTTACTCCGGGACCACTGAGAATTTTTACACCTACCCTGGCTTCTCCCCGGCCATTGTTACCTTCACCATCAATAAATCCATCTGAGTTAGACTTTCCTATTGCACTTCGGAAAGGCAAGTGTAGTGCTCAGCACCCCATTTCCCAGTATGCCTCTTTCACTTGTTTGTCTCCTTCACATCAACAATTTGTCTCTTCTTTCTTCTGTGTCAATTCCTCAATCTCTACAAGAAGCCCTTGTCTCTCCTTACTACAATGAGCTGATGGATAAGGATTTGTGCTCTTCACTCCAATAATACATGGGATCTCACTCCTCTACCTCTTAGTAGAAAGGTGGTTAGATATCAATGGGTTTATGCAGTTAAGCATCAACCTGATGGTAGTGTCGAGTAGTATAAGGCTAGACTGATGGCAAAGTGCTATAAATAGACTTATGGTGTTGAGTACATTGACAACTTCTCTTCAATTGACAAAATGGGGTCTATTTGGGTTAGCATCTCTTTGGTGGATCACTTTGATTGGTCGTTGTTTTAGCCAGATGTGAAGAAAACCTTCCTCCATGGTGATCTTTAGTAGGAAGTGTATATGGAGCAACCTCTTGGCTACATTGCTCAAGGGAGGCAAGAAAGGTATGTAGGTTAAGAAAGGCTATTTATGGGCTGAAACAATCACCACGAGCTTGGTTTGGTCGGTTCAATTGGAGTGAGACAAGGTAGTATGGACCATTCTGTATTTAGCAAAGATACATTATCTGGGAAGATTATACTAATTGTATATGTTGACGATATCATCATTATAGGGAGTGACACAAAGGGAATCAAGGAGTTAAAACAATTCTTGTAGCAACAATTTCAAACCAAAGACTTAGGACACCTGAAGTATTTCCTAGGCATTGAAGTAGCAAGGTCAAAGTTTGGAATATCTCTTTCACAAAGGCAATATGTGTGTGATTTCTTTGAGGAAACAGAATTACTAGGAGCATGGTCAATAGCTAGTAGCTACTCCTAGTGATCCAAACGTTATGATATCTGATAGTGAAGGGGAGTTCCTAAAGGATCCTAGCAAGTATAGGAGAATGGTAGGAAAGTCACTAGGAAGATGTTGTTAGGGTTCTCTGCTATTTAAAGCGTGCTATAAGTCAAGGATTGCTATATAACAAAGAGAGAGAACCGTCTCTAGAAGGGTTGACAAATGTAGACTAGACAGGTTCAATTACTGATAGGAAATCCATAACTGGCTATTACACCTTAGCTAGAAATCTAATTACTTAGAAGAGCAAAAAACCAAAGCGTGGTGGCTAGAAGCAGTGTTAAAACAAAGTATAGGACCATGGCACATACAACATGTGAGTTGATGTGGCTAAAGCAATTACTACATGAGATTGGTGTGAAGATTTCTAGTCCTATCAAACTGTTTTGTGACAACCAAGCAGCCATTCATATCTCCTCTAATATAGTATTTAACAAAAGAACTAAATACACAAAGGTAGACTATCACCTTGTTAGGGAAAATGTCTCAAGTGGAGAGATCATTACACCCTATGTGAGGTTAGAGGATCAAACTAGCTTAGTTGTTCACCAAGGGTTGCAACTGGGGTTAGATGACTCACATGTCACAAGTTGGAGCTATACAACATATACACTCCAACTTGAGGGGAACAAATAAGTCTTGCATATGATCTGGAGGACTCCACCTGCACCCAAAAAGAGAGAAAAGCCAAGCCCAAACACCAGAGAGAAATAGACAGGAGAGTATTAAATGGAAGAAGGGCTAACCAATTGCTTTGCAAAGAACACACCAATAAGGAGAAAGTAAGGTCTCCTTTTCTGCAGCAAGTCACACATGCTAATTTTCCAATGGATAAGCTCCTAATAAAAGGCATAGATTTTAGGCAGGACGGGTCTTCACCAAATCTCATTAACTGGAAAAGGTTGTAAGGTCAGATGGGATTCAATTAAATTTTTGAAAAATGAAGCAAAAGAAAAGGAGCCTGAGGGAGATAGAGTCCACATCTGATCATCCAATTTAAGTAGGTCCTAGAAGGCTAGAACACACCATCTGGGACATTTAAGAGTCCAAGCAAAAAAAAGGAAGTTTTGAAATTTGAGTCCCTTATACCCCTTCTAAAGCCCAAGTCCCAACTAAAACCATTGTTTGTAGAAGAAGGAATGATAAACCTAAATACTAGCATACCACCTCCTGGTCCTCCCCTTTATAGGAGGACAAAGAATATAAGGAAAAAATTGCTCATTTAAAGAGGACTGCCCCACCCAAGTATGTTTTTTTATAATAAAAGAAAATTTATTAAAAGAGAAAAAAGCGAACAAGAGAGAGGTAACAAGCAGTCACCCATGAAGAAGAGGAGACCCCAACACAGACATGACTCAATATCATAACAGCCTTCAAAGAGAACCTTCAAACCTAATACCCAACACTCCGTTCCACCTAGACCCCAAAACAACAAACACAACCAAAAACAAAAACAAAACAGGCAAGACATGAGCCAACCACCATGACTCCTCCGTATACCCATTCTCACTCCCATCTTTTGCTTCATTCCAAGCCTCTCCTCCTTCCCCCACAAATAACTTTCTTTAGACTCTCCTCCCTTCTCTCAAACTCTTCAATGGCTTTTCGAAAAAATGCCTCTCCTCCCAAACAGAAAAGACTAAAATTTTTCCAACTTCATTTTTTTTCAGCAATTTTCTCAATAACTGGTCCAACCTTCTATGCTTTTTCTCATGAAATCGTGCCAACTATCCTCACATCAGCTTCATTCCCTTCCTCAATATTCTTGGCTTGTTGTTGAGTGTTAATCATATCTGAAGCTGAAATCGGATGATAATTCGGTACTCCTCCATCAGGATCAACTAACTCCAATGATTTCGTCTTCATGCCCTTTCTCTTGTAAACTTTCTTAAATTTTTTTGTAGAACCAGCACCAACCAGGCCGAGCTTCAGTCTAGAAAAAACTTTAGTTACGTGAACAATATGTGTCTTACTAGAAGCCCTATGCTTCATAGGAACCAAACCATCCTCAATAGATTCACATCTTTTCTCCAATTTCCTCCTGCGACCTAGATCGACACCCAACTTACCGACCACAACCTCCTCAAAACGAACTGGAGAAATAGGTGAAAGCTCGCCATACCTGTCATTTGCTTCTGCAATTAGGTCACCTTCTTCAACCCCAACAATTTTGTTGGTCTTCAAAATGACATCCGATTAGTTCTTACTGTCCCCCAAACGCGAATCCATCCCTTCAGCTTCCTCTGTACCTCTCAAACGCAGCTCCACTAAATAAGGGCTAGCTTCTTGACATGGCTTGAAAGCATCGTCCCAAACAGCAGAGACATCGTACACCACAGTAGACTCACCACAACAAAGAACACAAGTCCCCATTGATGAACCAGCCACACCAGTTGCACCATTAGGACTGTCAACAATGAAACCAGCAAACAGCTCCTCTTCAACTGTTTTGATCTTCTTCTTACTTCCATTGTCCCCTCTCAAAATCTCCCTGACCTGACTCTCAGTTTTCCCTTTAATCTTCAACACTTTTTTCCTCTTAAAAGCGACTCTTCAATTCTCAACAACTGGAAACATAGACGCCCAAGTCCCAAGTCCCCCCTAATTAACTCTAGGCCCCAAAAGTAGTTCCCCACTTGGACTATCAATTCCGAGTTATGTGTAAGGAAAAAAAGTAGCACGGACCATGGGGGGTTGAAATATGTGAAAGCAAAAAAGGTAGAATGGAATGAATAGCTTTCCAAGGAGAAGTCGTCGTACCGGTTCTGATCAGCCCAACCTCCCATCAATTCCCAATTGCCCATGAATGTTGATCACCACCTTATACCATAACTTATTCCTATCTGCCAATTTCTCAACAATGCCAAATTCCTCTTTCCAATATTTCCAATTCCCAACCCCCCATGCCTCTTACATCTACTCACATTTCCCAATTAATTAGGTGATCCTTCTTCCCCTCCCCTACCATCCACAAAAAGTCTCTCATCAATTTTTCTATTTGCTTAACCACCCATGTTATCTTAAAAATTAACATGTAGTAAACCAAGAGATTTGCCAATGTTAACCTAATTAAGGTAATCATGCCCCCAAAGGTAGCATACCCCTTCTTCCAAGTGGCTAGCCTCTTTGACACTCTTTCAATCACCGGGGTCCAAATCTATGCTCTTTTTTTTGGGCTTGCTCCTAGGGGTAATTCTAGATATTTCATATGCCAAGATAGAAAGAATGTCACCCTGTCTAAGAGCACAAATGTCAAGATAAAATCTAGTACTGGCCCATTCACCAAGACCGAGTAATGACAAATCTCAAGGCAACCCAATATCCACTTGCACCACTTTTCCTCAAAACCACGCATTCTCATAACCTTCAAGAGAAAATATCAGTCCACCTTATTGTATGCTTTATCAATATCAAGTTTATAGATCAATCCTTTCTTTCCTAATCTTTTATAAATCTTCCACACACATTAGCAACTGGAATTTGATATGCAATTTCTCTATCCTGCACAAAATATGAAATCTAGTCCAGAATAGGTCAAATCAAAACTTTATTATGTCATAAATTAAAAGCAAGAAGTTAGAAGGATCCAGAAAAATATTTCATATAAAGAAAACCCATAATTTATAATTGAGACTTGAGAGAGCAGGCAGATACTATACTGGTTGTGAGGCAGCCAATGATACTTCTCCATGGGAGTATAGATAAAGATAAGCTGTCATGCTAGTTGGGACAATAATTGTCATCCATGTTGCAGACTGCAAAACAACAAATTTCATAACTCAAGTTACTTTAAAACAAGCCCCTAGAAGTCTAAATGAGAGCTCAACCAGTCAGTCCAGAACCAGAGGAAGATAGTTACTAGAATGAGTATTAATCACAAAGAAATGAAGAATATGAGAATGCTCAATTCAATAGAAAAAGAAAAACCACAATTTAATCCATTTGCAGACTTATATTCAAACTTACTGATGTCAAATTAAAAATTGTTAACACCACTTTTGTCGTAAATCAAGACTTAGACATATATTTATTACAAAAAAAGGACTTAGATGTATGTAAGATATGGAAGGCAGCAAAATTAGAGCATGGAAGGCAAGGCCCATTATATTTTCTCAGTTAAATCCTCCAATGTAGCACAGCTCACTGCTCAGGGGCATCAATGATCCTTTCCCTTGAGACCTAAATGTTAAAAGCYAATGTTCCATCTAGGGTTCACTTTTTAGGGTTAGACTGTAAGAAACTAAAGAGTTGCCAATAGAAATGCAACAAAACTCCTCAAAACAGCAGCCTAGTAGAAATATAAAATTTACTTGCCAGTAATCTAATGGAAGAACAAGAAGGATGAAAAATAATATATAGTTATTTAGATATAGAAAGCATTAAGAATTTCAAAGCTTTATTGATTGAATCAGAAAAGTGAACAACAATTAATTTGAAAGTTGTATAGTTGGAACCAATATGGAGGGGGAGGTAGTAGAGTGTGCAGGTATTTTGGGTTGTGTGGTGTCCATTTGGCCTCTGAATTACCTAGGAATGCCTCTATGAGATAGCCCAAGGTAAGATGACAAAACAGCCATTTACAGGTAAGCCTGAAAGATCTACAGGCACACTTGATATAATACATACCGATGTATGTGATCCCATAAATGTTAGGACACGAAACCAGCATTGTTGTTTCATAACTTTCACCGATGATTATTCTCGGTATGGTTACATGTACCTAATGAGACATAAGTCTAAATCCTTCGAAAGGTTCAAGGAGTTTAGACAAGAAGTCAAGAAACTGTTCGGGAGACACATCAAAACCATTCGATCAGATCGAGGAGGTGAATATCTCTCCAACGAATTCAGGGACTACCTAAAGGACAATGGGATTATATCACAGTTGTCTCCTCCTTGCTCCACCACAATTAAACGGTGTATCAAAGAGAAAAAATCGGACTCTATTAATTATGGTCTRATCACTCCTCGTTCATTCAAAACTACYTATATTCTTTTGGGGAACGCATTGGAGACTACAATTTGCGTGTTGAACCGGGTATCAACCAAATCAGTTCCTAAGACTCCTTATGAGCTTTGGACCGGCAAGAAACCAAGTGTAAGACACTTAAAGATTTGGGGTTGTCCAACACACGTTAAAAGAACAAGTGCAGACAAATTGGAATCCAAGACCAGTCGTTGCCTATTTATAGGCCACCTCAAAGGATCTGTAAGGTATCTTTTCTATAACCCAAGAGAACAAAAGGTGTTTGTTAGTCGAAATGCCTAATTCTTGGAAGAAGAATACATCTTGAACAATCATTGTCAGGAAATTGTTCTTGATGAAGAGAGCTTAGGAGTAGTGGGAGATGTCCCACAGAACCCAGATAATACCCAACTTAGAAGATCTACCCGGGTATCTAGACTTCCAGTGCATTACGGCTATGATCAAGAAAGTAACTTGATGGAAGCTACGAACAGTGAGGAAGACCCAGTGACTTATACGAAARCTATGTTGGACATAGATTCCTTGAGGTGGGTAAATGCCATGAAAGTCGAGATGGACTCAATGGAAACCAACGAAATATGGACTCTCGTAGATCCGCCCCCTGGGGTAAAAGCAATTGGTTTCAAATGGATCTACAAGAGGAAGAAGGGCCCTGATGGAAAGGTTAAGACCTATAAAGCTCGTCTAGTAGCGAAAGGGTACACTCAAAAAGGAGTTGATTACGAGGAAACCTTTTCGCCCATGGCCATGCTTAAATCCTTTTGGATTCTATTAGCTATAGCAGCACACTATGCCTATGAGATTTGGCAAATGGATTGCCATGTGCACTCGCCCAGACATTGCTCAGCCTATTAGTGTAGTAAGTAGATACCAGTCAAACCCAGGACAGGAGCATTGGACCGCTGTGAAAAACATACTCAAATACCTACGGAGGACTAAAGAATATTGTCTTGTCTTCAATGGTAGTTCACTACAGATGGTCGGGTATACTGATGCCGACTTCCAGTCAAACCCAGATGATAGAAAGTCTACATCTGGTTACAACTTTATGATGAGGTCCTGTGCAGTTAGCTGTTAGCTGGAAGAGCAGCAAACAAGGGCCCACAGCAGATTCCACGACTGAGGCCAAGTACATTGCCGCAAGTGAAGTTGCCAAGGAAGCAGTTTGGATGAAGAAGTTCATCCACGAATTAGGAGTTGTTCCATCCAGCACATCACCCATTCCACTGTTGTGCGACAACACCAGAGCCATTGCTCGGGCTAAGCAGCCAAGAGCCCACTCGAAGTCCAAGCACATCGAGAGGAAGTATCACATACTACGGGAAATTGTTGGTAGAGGGGACATCCAGATTCAGAAGGTAGCATCAGCGGAGAATGTGGCAGACCTATTGACTAAGCCACTGACACAGAAAGTGTTTGAGAAACATGTGGGCAGTATGGGACTGAGGCTTGTACCAGATTGGACCTAAGTGCAAGTGGGGGTTGTTAGACAGTGTATGCCTTTAGCTCCAATCAGATTGATGTACAGATACATTTATTGTAAATGAATAAAAGTACATAATTGTTTCATGTTATCATTGGTGTGTTTCTGTGTAATTACCCTTAAACTGGACACTTATGAGACTCGTGTTAGTTTAGAATGTTCTCAGCCATTGGATAGACTTGGGGAGTTTATCCTGCCAAGGCTGACACTAATGTGCTGCCAAAAAAGTTGGGGCAGCTTGTCTCGGCTACTAGGGTTAGACCTGAAGCACACGTAGTGTGTGTTTGTTTGAAGCATTGAACCCGAACCATTTTCCTGTTACACATAACCCCTATACATAACCCCTATACTTGATTATGGTACTACACTGAGTGTCGGATCGGGCTATCTTTGATTTGCCAATCAGTGAGATCCTTTGGGGGTCAAAACCTAGGAATGTTGGGGCAGCCTGAGAATTCACTTTAGTGGGTGACCATAGTGACAGGATCAGCCCCTTTGTCGGACAAAGTGAATGATCAGGACACTCCCAAAAGTTGCGAAATGGAGAAGAACGAAGGATTCGCAACAGCTGGAAAATGGAGAAAAGTGATTACAGCAAAGAGAAAATGGTTCTTGATGGAAGAAATTGTATACTAAAAGAATCTTAAGATAAAGATAAGGGAAAGAAGAAGAGGAACGATACTGTTGTTGGGTGAAGTTGTATCGTGGTTCCAGAGCTTCCTAGACGGAGCAATAAATGTAAGTTGGGGTAGGCCATGGGAGAGTACCCTTAGGCAGTTGAGAGAATATTTTGCTGAGAGAAAGAGAAACTCCAATGGATGGTTCATTGTTTTGGAGGAAAGTTTTGAGCAACAAAAAAAACAAAGGATCATCATACCAGAAGGCAACAGTCTGCAAGGCTGGAGTATGATAGCAAACGAACTTCACCGGAGAATGGCTGTGAGAAAGAAGGAAGAGGTAAAGGAACCAAAAAAAATGACAGCAGTACTGGGAAAGGAAGAAATAACTGAGAGAAGGAAACAATTAGAGAGGTTGGGGTTAAATGAAAGTGAAGAAAATACAGACTCAATGGCGATGTCTCATACAATACCAGAACCAAAGATCTTATTGGAGGGGGAGAAAGGAAGTTGGGAGTGAAGATTAATCTTGTCGGCAAAGAAGGAAGTAAACGACTGGAAAGGATTACTCGAAGAGGTGACATCCAAGCTTGGTACTCGTCATACTGTGATATTAATCCCCTTCAATGACAGAAAAGTTGTAATGGATGTGGGGAGAGGGAGAATGGACTTCAAAACCATAGAAACAAGTGAGGGTTTTGTAACAATAGAGAACTGGTGCCCATTGGCTAATGCAGTAACAATGGCGATGGGAGTTTCAAGTTGAAGCTTTTGGGTTTTCCTTTCCATTTATAGGTGGTTCTCTCCTATCTTTCAAGATGGTAGACTTGAGAGCAGTGACATGAAGGTCGTCGGTGTGAAACCTAAAAATGTTCCAAGATCTCTCAACCTTTGTGCTGACGGCTACTGGTACAAAATCTGGGTGAGTGAGTAATTTAAAGCAAGTGATCAATGTTTGAACAGGTGACTAATCTTAAAGTTAATTTAGACAAGATTTGTGTGATTGGCATTACTTTGAGTGAAAGTGAGGTGGAGGATAGAGCCCGAACTTGGGAATGTGGGATTACTCAATGGCCTTTGATCTATTTGGGGCTGCCACTAGGGGATAACCCAAGTAAAAAGAGTTTCTGGAACCTAGTGATTGAGAGATTCAMTAAGAGGTTAGCATCTTGGAAGAAAAATTACCTATCCATAGGAGGCAGAATAACTCTAATTAAATCTACATTGGCAAATATGCCTGTGCACTTTTTGTCGATGTTTAAAATGCCTGAAGGAATATGTGGAATTTTGGAGAAGTTAATGAGACTTCTTATGGGAACCAAGAGAGGAGAAAAAAGGTCATAGGGTCAGGTGGGATATAGTTACCAAAACCAAAAATGATGGTGGGCTTGCTTTAGGCAATTTGCAGAAAAAAAAAAAAAAAAAAAAAAATGAAGCTCTGCTAGGGAAATGGCTTTAGAGATTGACTTTGGAAAGGGATAAATTATGAGCTCAAGTTGTCTTAAGTATTCATGGGGAAGCGGCGGATGGCTAGGACTCCGGAGTTTCAGCAAGGGTTACGGAAGCTTCTCCTTGGAAATCAATTCATGCCATCCTTCCTTCTTTCCTTCCTCTAATCAGGTATGATATGTGCTCTGATAACCTTGTGAAATTTTAGGATCATGTTTG